TGTGTTCAGGGGCGGACAATCTCCCTTTCCCATTTCCATAGTTTGGGCACTCATAATATTTGGGGTGTCTCCTGGGTCCTGCAGGAGCAATCCATTTCCTTCAGCAAGTATGAGTTTTCATGGCTTTCCTAATGTATTCCTGCAGTCGTTCTGGAGCAAAGGTTCACAATGCGAGCCTCCACGTGCTGTTCTTTCCATCTGAGTGGGAGCTGCAATCTAGTCCTGCCTCCTGCCCACCATGATCTCCAAATCTAGTATATGCAAGATATGTTATTATGTAGGATGACCTATGATCTGAGAAACTTGATTATTTCTATTTATCGTAATGTCTCACTTATTTGGGTTCTGACATCCAGTGACTTCTACCATCAGTAAAGCAGCTTTGAATCCAGACATTATCAAAAGACATTTCTTCTTAGTAAAGAAAATAGTTGTTAAAAACATTGACTTGACCTTGTTAGAGAAGCGTATATCCATCCCTAGGCTCCCACTCAAAAATATTATCTTAAAATATTTTTTAATCGGGTTAAAATAAGGAAACTCATTTAAGAAAACTAGTGTTGATGCCTTCCCACAAGGACCAACAGGAATCCATCCAGAGTTTTAGCAAGTCTTGTTGACTGTAGGGAGGGAGACCACATACGATGCACCTATAGGAACTCAGGAAGAGGATGAAAGATATTTCATAGGATTTGCGCTTGTGTTAGGTGATTTTTGGGAATCATTTAAGAAATCAGGGCCGGGCGCAGTGGCTCTTGCCTGTAATTCCAGCACTTTGGGAGGCCGAGGAGGGTGGATCACAAGGTCAGGAGATCAAGACCATCCTGGCTAACATGTTGAAACCCCGTCTCTACTAAAAATAAAAAAAAAAGAAGAAAATTAGCTGGGCATGGTGGCAGGCGCCTGTAGTCCCAGCTACTCGGGAGGCTGAGGCAGGAGAATGGCATGAATCCAGGAGGCAGAGCTTGCAGTGAGCTGAGATTGCGCCACTTCACTCCAGCCTGTGCGACAGAGTGAGACCCGTCTCAAAAAACAAAACAAAAGAAAACAAAAGGAATCAGGGATGGGCTCTGGGTTGAATGTTATCAATAATTGGAGATAAGTTTAGGATCGGGTATTTAATGAATCTCATCTAGAAGTTGGGACAAATGGAGTTAGGCTGAGTCATAACTGGTAGAGGTAGCCATCACTCATTTTAGCCAATATTGGAGATGTTTGATCATTTGAGGGTTTTGTACAGTGTTTGCTGTTTTTGTCTGTGCTTAGATATAATTATGGAATGGTCTGGCTTTCCTCTTGGTCCATCACAGTCATGGGGTGGCCTTGTCTGATCTTGGTGATTTGTCAAATTGTTGGTGTTTGGCACCACAGCCTAGTTGCCAGGGTCAGGTCAGCTCCTCGTTGTTAGGGATTGCTTTTCTCTTTCTCACTGGCTATTTGTTTTCTTTACAACAGCTGCAGATTATACCAGATTAGAAATGGGAATGGGGCTGGTGATAGAAGCTACTAGAGGCTGATACAGCCATAAAAAGCAGTGGAAGTGAGGCTGCCAGAGGGGGAAGGATATAAGAAACGTGTAAAAAAGCAGAGAGCTCATATCAATTCAGAGTCATTTATATATCAGCCTTTAAGCATATCATTATATTGTATATTATATTGGAATAACAATTGATATTCATGATTATATCAAGTGTTGGGTTTCAATCTTGAGTGACTTATTTTTATTTGCTGGTAGTTATTTCTTCTAGCTGTTTGTATTTAAATAGCAGAAATAAATAGCGATATGAATTTTAGATGCAATACAATTCTTTTTTCAAGTCTCTTAGCTCTGGTTGTACTGCAGCTCCAAAATACTCCAAAAAACTCCAAAAAATACGTAAGATGCTCTTTCTTCCTTTGGAGCAGTGAGAACTGAATACAACAGAACCATTGTTTTATGAGTTCAGTAAATTAACTTTTTCAGGTGGTGTTGTGACATGGTGCACGTATTTTTACATCTGGAGCTCATGCAAAGAAAACACTTTGAAATATCAGGATATTATTACATAGCAAAGCTTTTATCTGCTGTTCCCTCAATACCATCTTCTTTTTCCTTTCTTCCTTTCCTATTTTTTTACATATAACACTAGATTCAGAGACCTTGGTGTCTGTGATTCAAGTGATAATATACACATGCCTCTGATAAGGCCTCTCATATATAAAGGTACACAATAAAGTTGTACTTATGGCGTGGGTATTTAAATCTCAATAACACTGCACAAAAAGGGACCCTCTCTTACGTGTTTAACAAATATTTGCAAACTAGTGGCTGTGAGTTGGGTTTTGGAGTCAGAGTGGACTTTACTCTCACTTCTGCCATCTAACAGTTGTGTGACCTGGGGTGAGTTACTTACACTAATCTGAAAAATGGGGATCGCCACTTTACCGGGGTTGTTGTGAGGATAAATGAAAGGATGTAAAGCATTTAGCACAATATCTGATGCATAAGAAATCAAGTTCTGAATCAGAATAATCCAGCTCTGAGCTAGAACTTGAGTCCATTATGTTTTCCTTCCATAATATTGATGTAGATCAAGGGTTGATAGAAAGTAGAACACTAAGGAGTGTATTCGAGGGCATCTCTTAGTACAGGTTCTATATATTTAATATTATATAAAGTTTGATCTAATGATACTTTTTTTTTTTGAGACAGAGTTTCACTCTTGTTTCCCAGGCTGGGGTGCAATGGCATGATCTCAGCTCACCGCAACATTCACCTCCCCTGTTCAAGCAATTCTTCTGCCTAAGCCTCCTAAGTAGCTGGGATTACAGGCATGTGACACCATGCCCAGCTAATTTTGTATTTTTAGTAGAGATGGGGTTTCTCCATGTTGGTCAGGCTGGTCTCGAACTCCTGACCTCAGGTGATCCACCCACCTCAGCCCCCCAAAGTGCTGGGATTACAGGCGTGAGCCACCGTGCCTGCTAAATGATACATTTTTCTTCATAAAAACATTTATTTAGTTCAAACATCAGCCAACTGTGGAGCTGGCTGCCTGTTTTTATAAATAAAATGTTATCGGAGCACAGGTATACTTGTTCACTATGTATTATCTATGGCTACTTTTGTACTACCAATGCAGCATTGATCAATTACAAAAGAGATGTTATTACGACCCTCAAGTCCAAAATGTTTACTATCCAACTGTTTAAAAGTTTTGCAGCCCTAATATAGTCTAAATACAACTGCAATTAAAATGAGCATCTTAACTATGTTACTCAATCCAGTAGTCAATTCTCTGTTGTCAATTTATTTGCCCTGTTGGTAGCATTTGACAGATGAATCCCTCACCTTCTTGAAACACTCTCTTCACTTGGTCCCTCTGGCTGCTTCCTTCTCAGTCTCCACTGCTGTGGCTTCTTCATCTCTAACCTCTAATGATTGGAGTGCTTAAAGGGCAGGCTCAGTCCTGGGACCGTTTCTTTTTTCCATTACTTGGCAAAGTCACTCAATTATGGCCTTTAATATCATTTATATACTGTGGACTCCCAAATTTATGTTAATCCCAGGCCTCCCCCACCTACTTGATATCTCTATTCGAATGTCCGTTTTAGGCATCTCAAACTAAACATGTCCAAAACTGAACTCCTGATCTCACTCTCCACCTCAAACCTTGCTTTTCTCTCAGGCTTTTTCTTCTCGGTCAATGACAACTCTATTCTGCCAAAAGCCTTGGAGACATCCTGGAGCCCTCTCAATCCTCAGCAAATCCCATTACTCTACCTTCAACATTATCCAGGTTCTGAGCACTCCCCACCACCTCTGCTTTCAACACGCTGCTTTGTGCCCCACCATCTCTCATGTAGACCTCCCTTCAGTCTGTTCTCCATACAGCTTCCAGATGGGGCCTTAAAAAACAAGTCAGATCTCTCACTTCCCTTCTCAAAACCCTCCAGTGGCTTCCTATCTCACTCAGAGAATAGCCAAGTCCTTACAATGGCCTCAAAGGCCCCAGTAATCCTTCTACCTGACTCCACTGCCATAATCCTCTGACTTCATTGTCTACCACTCTCCCTCATGGCGATGGTTCCACTGGCACTGTCTCCTTGCTGTTTCTGGAACATGTCAGGCATGATCTTTGCTTTGGCTGTTTCTCTGCCTGGAATGCTTTTCTTCTGGGTTTCTACCTGGCTCATTGCCTCTCATCAGTGACATCATCTCTGGACATCTTAACCAAAATCATCGCTGCCTCCTCTCTTCCCTGATTAATTTTTCTCCTTCACACTTATTATTCAACAGACTAGTTATTTTATCTACCTGTCTTGATTACTATCTTGCTTCCCCTACTAAAATCTAAGCTCAACGGAGGACAGAGATTTTGAGCTGTTTTGGTCACTGTTGTTTTCCTAGTGTTTGGAACACTTTCTGGCATATAATGCACACTCAACAAACATCTGTATAAAGACACAGAAAGAATGAATGATGTTCTTCTTGCTGGTACTTTAATTTTCTTTTCTCAATTTCATGGAAGAAGAAAAATAGGGCTCTTTAATTTTGCTGCATTCACTTGAGATCACTTCTTAATTTTCAAAATGCATTTTAAATAAGATTTGGAGGGAAAGGGTATTTAGAAAATTTAAAAATATTTTTCTTCAATTTATCTCTCAGATTCTATTTTTATTATATCCTATGAATTTTCTACTTTTAAATATTTCTGTTATAATCTTAGCAGAAAATGTTTGTGTTATAACAACTATTCAGGAATTTTTGTTTGTGAGAAAAATGATTGATAAATATAAGCCTATACAAATGCTCACCAACTTAGACCGAATAGCAAAATGTCATTTACTATTTTGGAGAATTTGAACTATAAACTGTTTAAAAGGAATAAAATAAAGTTTTATAATTTTCCATGTTGAACTTTTTTTATAGTATAAAGATAGATTTTAACATAGCCTAATTCCAGGTTAGCAAAGTATGAAATAATAAGATTTTGTTTTATTGTTATATTTCTGTGCAGGGGGATATGGGACCTGTGGGACCCCAAGGACCAATGGGGATCCCTGGAATCGGGAGTCAAGGGGAACAGGTAATTAATGTACTCTTCCTTTCCCTTCAGTGCAGAATATTCTAGCCCCATCTTGGTCTTCATTGAAGGCCAGCCCTGCAAACAGCTTTGAGTGTGTTTGACAGTTAATTGCAATGGAGTGTAAGTCCAGAAATGAATATAGGGAAGGATAAGATGGTTTCATGAGAAGATTTTATTTTTTAGAACTTCCAAAGGCTTAAAAAATAGGTAGTGTGTTTCATGAGGCTGTGACTTTTAACATTAGAACCTAATTAACAAGGTAAAGGTTTTAGTGCAATATTTTTAGTTTCCCTTGGGAACAACAGTTTACTTACCTGCTGGTTTGTATATTTTTTTTCTCCTTGAAGCTTTGTGAAAATTGAACCCCACTCTCTCCCAAAGGAGTAGAGTAGTATCCCCTCACCAACCACTCCAACAAGCTACATACCAATTTTTAAAAAAGTATTATAGTTAAAACTTGGACCAGGATCAGGAGTAACCACTTAGTTTAAGGGGCACCCTTCTTGAATAGAAGAAAACCACAGAGAGAATTTATAAATGACACCTGGCCCGTTGGTGAGAAGAAAAGAAAGATCTGTAAGAATGTCTACGTTCATGATTAGAACCACTTCCAAAATCTTCTGATAACTTTTGGAAAATCTGGGTATTGTGATAAATCTAAATAATGTGAAGATAGTATAACAGTACTCTCTTCTGTTGTTAACCATGTAGTTTTTAATTTACCATATGCTTTGTTGCTTACCATATACTTATGCAATCTCATAATCAAAGTGACCAACAAATCCAGTTTTATGCTAAATATCTCCTGGTTAGAAAGTGGCAGGTTAGGTTTGATTAAGATTTACGATTAAGATTTATGATTAAGGTTTGAATTATTCTATTGCTTAGAGAATGAATAATGCTTTCTTTATCTAGGGTAGTGGGAGAATGGAAGAATTTAAAAAATGAGATAATTTCAAATGTCATTGTTGAGATTAACTTTGGGTTTATTTCTAATTGTCTGCTAATTTATTGTTGTTATTACTTTTTTTGTTAGTCCAAACAACAGCAAAGTTGGGTATGACTCCTTTTTCCATTCCCTTGCCCTTGACAGAGGTCCTAGTCTAACACATTAGGAATCTTAAGGTACAGAAGAAGCCAAGATAACTGTATAAATATTTAGATAATAATTAAGAGCTGGATATTTGGGCAACTCAAATCATGATTTGATGATACCAGCAGACATTCTCAAGCCTTGTAGTTTATTTGTTGGTTTTAGCAGGGGCTTACTGATCCCAAAAGTGGTCGGACAATGCTGTCACATCTTGGGTCTTGCGGTGCTCCTGTTGCTGAGTCACTACTATGGGGCTAAACGTGAGGTTCAAAGACAAGTCTGTCCAGATGGCCTGTGAATTCTGGACTTCCTACCTACAGCTTCTCGTCGCCTTTAATGCTGTTCCTTGGTGGAGGTTGTTGTTCTTCAGCTTGGGAAACAAAACAAAACAAAACAAAACAACTCTTGTACTTCTTTCATTTTCTCACCCCCTTTTCTTCTTTTCAAAAAGAAAAATAATTTTGGGTAGATGTGTTCTTATAGAGCTGATCTCGATTGGAAATGAGACCTCTATTTGTAAAATGATCTGAGAAAGAAAATCATTTATTTACATTTTAAGACAAATGATATAACTTCTACTTAAATTTAACCTCTGTTCATTTACTTAAATTTAACCTCAGTTATTCAATGTTCTTATCTTTAATTTTATGTGTTTATCCATTACATTCTTGTTATATTTGATCTTCCTATTTCTCTTATAAAAATGAGTGTTTTCCCTCATGTGTTTATAAGGGAACTTCTGTTTCCAGCAACATGTTTACAATATCTCTTAAATGGCCCACAGATTTTTGTTAAATATTTGGAGGCTTGATCAACTCAGATCTTTTACAAAATAGAGTGAAATATAAACAACCACATATACACATGTACATATATGTGCACATCCCTTTGTATACCCATGTATAAAAACCTCCTTTATAGTGTGAATGATGGAGTCAAGTGTTTGAACATTCTTCAATTTGGAATCTACTGACTATTGCTTCTTAGAGCCTAGGTCAAACCTTCAATTTACCATCCTGATACATATATATTGGGACAACTGGGATATAGGTTTGCCTGCATGTGACAGAGATATGAAATAGGTTAACTAGATGTAATTTTATTTTCCTTACTTAAAACTCCAAGCTGGTATAGTGGCTGTATTAATCAGTCTTGTTAGTCTGCCATACTGAGGGTGCTATCCTCATCTGCGTGATCCTGGATGGCCACCCTCTCTTAATTCCAGCTACTGAAGAAGAGGAAAAGGGAAGGAGAAGGCATACCTCTTCTTTTAGCATGAACCAGGAATTACATACATCACTTCATTCACATCCCATTGGCTAGAATCTAGCCCACATGGCCACTCCTGGCTGCAACAGGGACTGAGAAACATGGTCTTTATTCTAGGCAGACATGTGGGCCAGCTAAAATTTCTCTTAATATGGAAATAGGGAAGAATGCAAATTGTGGTTTAACTAGCAGCCTCTGCCACCCCACTCCACAAATGTTTATTGAGTGTAAGTAACTTATTATGGAGTTTGAACTAAAGTTTCACTTTAGAGGATTTGAAACTACCTAATTTCACTAATACTATTTTATAAAATTTTATTTTAAAGGGAATCCAAGGTCCTATTGGTCCACCTGGTCCACAAGGGCCCCCAGGACAAGGCTTACCTGGTTCCAAGGTAACTTCGTAAATGAGAGCAGAGTTTAATATATCTATAGTATAATTGCTGTTTTCTAATCAGTGCCAGTGCATTTAGAAGACAGCAGATAGAATGAACTTAATCAGAGATCTCTACTTAATGCAAAATGTTACTGATATTCCTGACAATTTAGAAAATGTAATATGTATTCTTTATGCTTTAAGAAAGTTTTACTTATGCAATTTTCATTTGTTGTTTTCTTTGTTACTTTTACTTATGAGATCCTATTCTAGCAACTCAAGCAGTAATATTAACAGAGGCAACCAGTGGTTATGTGTCTTTCTAGGTTGGCTAACTTTCATTCTCACCACCACTCTGACAGTAGGTCCAACTACTAAAACCATAGCTAAAGAGATGGGATCAGAAATGACCTAACAAATAAAAATGTTTTATGTACTTGGGAATCAAACTATCTCATAGATTGGAACTATTATTTTTTCCTTGAGGAGGAGCATGGCACTTATTTAACTAGTTATCCTTAATATTGCTTCTAAGAATCATGAATCATTGTTAAATAAATAAAATGCTTCTCTGAGACTGCTCACCTTAGAACTCACTCCTTAGAGCTGTACGTGTGAGAAGCCCCTCAGTGGAGCACTCTGACTATTCTTGAGAGTTTTGATTTGGAGCTTGTCCTTAAAAGCTCAAGTTGTGTTCTCTGCTTATGACATTGCTCTTGATCAGCAGTTACCTTGCCTTTTCCTGTGCCAATTTTAGTTGTTCTTGAATGCAGCTGCCTATCTTTTCCAGATACCCTCCACAAGGGGCTCCTTAAAAATCAATTCTGAATATGCTATATGGCCTATATTTTAAGTCAGACCATATATACATCAAATATTATATATATTTTTCATTTACATAGATTCCAAATCTGGTGCAAATCCATCCATCTGAAGGGATTTCAGGCAATATATATGAATTGAGCATATGAAACTGTTTTACTTTATTGATATAAGACAGGTTTTAGGAGATCAACAGCAGGAATATATTATTTTCACTTTGCTGCTGTATTAAAATACTCCCTTTTCTTACTAGGGAGAAGTAGGCCAAATGGGACCTACAGGCCCTCGAGGACCAGTGGGAATTGGAGTACAAGGTCCAAAGGTGAGTTGACTGCTGCTCGGAAGTGATATGATACTTTATTTAATATTATGTAAGGTTTCCTTTATATTTAATTGCAGTACAGACCCTGCATGTGTTATCTAATGCTATATTAACGGGCTCCTTTTACTTTTTAAGTGTGGCTACTACTACTGCAAAAGCTATAATTACGTGTATGGCTTGCTTTATATTCCTCTTGGACAGTGCTGCTCTAAAATACATACTCCATGGGGGTGGCACTTTGTTTATCTTGGTTTATTATGGAATCCCCAGCTTTGGGGACATGATAGATTCTCAATAAATACTGCTGAATAAATGAACGAATACTTAGTTTACCCTTCACAGTTTCTATAACTCATCCTGAAGTTATATAGGATCTAGAGAGCCATGTTGAGCACTCAACTTCACCATTGTTCTGTTGTTATTGTCATATTCTTGTAAGCATTTGAGTATTAGAAGAGTATGTAAGATGCAGGTCTAAGAAGAATATACATGTTACATATATAAGCATATCATTACAAAGGATAAAAATGTATTAATATAGTAATAGTAGCTGACATTTTTACATGGTTTCCATGTGCTACACAGTATACTAAGTGCCAAGTTTGACATATATGTTTATACATATATGTAATATATGCCTCTGTGTATGTATGTATACAAACATATTATGTTATATACATGTCAATGGCAGAGAGGCAATATACAATATAGTAAGGCTCAGCTGTTAGACTACCCAAGTTCAAATCTCAGTTCCACCACTTATGACATATGCAATCTTAAACTTACTTTAAAAAATGAAGTATGGTTCTGCCGGGGGTGGTGGCTCATGCCTGTAATCCCAGCACTTTGGGAAGCCAAGGAGGGTGGATCACGAGGTCAAGAGATCGAGACCATCCTGGCCAACTGGTGAAACCCCATCTCTACTAAAAATACAAAAAAATTAGCCGAGCGTGGTGGTGGGCACCTGTAGTCCCAGCTACTCGGGAGGCTGAGGCAGGAGAATGGCGTGAACCCAGGAGGCGGAGCTTGCAGTGAGCCTGGGTGGCAGAGCGACACTCTGTCTCAAAAACAAACAAACAAACAAACAAACATTAGCTGGGCATGGTGGTGTGTGCCTGTAGTCCCAGCTACTTAGGAGGCTGAGGCAGGAGAATCGCTTGAACCCAGGAGGTGGAGGTTGCAGTGAGCTGAGATTGCGCCACTGCACTCCAGCCTGGCGACAAAGTGAGACTCAGTCTTAAAAAACGAAAATGAAGTGTTTCAAATATATTCACCATATAGAGAACAATACAAAGAGCACCTATGTATTCCACAGCCCAGCTTTATCAAATGTTAACGTTTTACCACACTGACTCTAGACTTTTTAAAAGAAACATTGTAGGTGTGGCTGAAGGTCCCTGCTGGCACTCCCCAATCCCACTGCCCTCCCTTCTCTCCTCACACATAATCATTATCATGAATTTGGTGTTTATCATTATTTTGAAGTTTTTATAATTTCCTACATGTTTTTATCCATAAAATATATATCGCTTCTTTTGTGTTCTTGAACTTTACATGATATATCATTCTGCAATATATTTATAGTCAGCCTTACATTTTATTTGTGCTTTTATATGCCACTAATTCATTGATATTAATCGCATTATAGTATTCCACTATATGAAAATATCTCATTTTATATTTATTCATCTTCATGTTGGTGGATATTTAAATTGCTTCTCATTCTTTTTGATTTTGCCAACAATGCTGCCACAAACATTCCGTTTCCTTTTGTATAAGTTAGAGGACAAGTTTCTTGACTTGTAGAAGATAGACAGCTAGAGGTAGAATGGGAAGATCATAGAGCATGTGAGTCTTCAATTTTGATACTGTAAAAAATCTTGTCCAAAATACTTGTGCCAGTTTACCTTCCTGCTAGCAATAGGTAATGGTGTTCCTTTCTCTAAATCTGTGCAAATATGAAATGTGTACAAATGTCTCTTATTGTGTTATATAAACTGTAAATATCTTCTCCTAGGCTGTGACTTATTTTTTTCACTTAGAGTACTTCTTAGTATACAGAAGTTTTAAATTCTGATATATTTCTATCCCTTTATGATTTGTGATTTTTGAATATTATTTTAAAACATTTCTTGACCTCAAATTCATAAAGATACTCTTATGCATTTTTTTCTGAAATTTTTATTGTTTTGTTTAAAAAATTTAGGTATTTAACCCACACAGAATTTATTTTTGTGTGTGGGTCAATGTAGGGATCTATTTTTTTATTACAATAAATAAGCAAGTACCCCAGAATCAGTTATTTAATAGTCCATCTTTACAACACTGATTTGCAGTACCACCTCTTTCATATATCAGGCTTCCATATTTTGAGCATCAGTGCCTGAGCTCTCTATTCTACTCGATTTTTCTATTTATATCTCTCAGTGCTATTACCTCCTTGTCTTGATTATAATAAATTTATAATATGTTCTGTTATCTAAAAGGAAAAATACTCTTGTCTTCTTTCTTGGTAATTATTGACTCTAAGATACATATTTTAGGGTTGGCTTGTCAAATTTAACAGGATACCCCATTTGGTTTGCACTAAATCTACAAATTAAATAGTAAGTCTTTCATACCACAGAGTAAAGCTCTAACTTTTCAAGAAAATATTTGTAATTTTTTCCATAAATGTCTTGTACTTTTTAAGTTAAATTTATTTCCAGATACCTTGCAGAAATTTTTGTAATTGTGAATTTTTTTCTACATCTTTTAACTAAATAGTATAGGTCTAGGTCTATAGGAGAAGGGTTTTTTTGTTGTTTGTTTTCTTTGTTTGTTTGTTTTGGCATGTTGATTTTGTATCCAGCCACCCTGTGAAATCTCTGTTTGTGTAATCTCTTGCTTTTTCAGTCTCTATGTACACAATCATATTGTCTGAAAATAAAGTTTTACCTATTCTTTTTTAGCTCTCCTTTTATTATTTTTTTGTCATTTTGTACTGCTAGGATCACTTGTACAATGTTTAAAAGAAATGACTTCAAAAGAAGTGCTTCTAAAATGTCACTTTTAAGTGTGACATTTGCTGAAAGTTTTTGATAGATACCCTTTATTAGGTTAAGGTAATTCTGTTCTTTTTTGGTTGTACCAAATGTTACTTATTAAATATAAATGATTACTGGATTTTATCAAATTATGCATCTACTAAGATAATTGTGTTGTTTTCCACTTTTAACTTCTTAATATGATACATTACAGTTACAGAGTTTTCAGATGTCAAACCATCCTTGCATTCTTGAGATAAACTCAATTCATTATGTGTACTTTTTATGATGATCATTCAACTGACTCTTTTATTCAAGATTTTTCTTTTATTTTAATAACTATGTATTATCTAATTGGCATATAATAAATGCACATGTTTAAAGTATAAAATGCAATGTTTTGAGATATGTATATACCCTTGGAATCATCACCGCAATCAAGATGATAAGTATTTCTATACCCCTCAGAAGTTACCATCTGTCCTTCTATCCCTCTGTAACTTCTTGTATGTTCACTAATATGCTTTCCACAGATCTGCTTTCCAATTATCCACTAACCATTGACCTGTTTTTTGTCATCATAGTTTGCATTTTCTAGATTTTTATGGAATTATATACTTTGTGATATTTTTCTGGCTTCTTTTAACTCAGCAAAATCATTTTAAGATCCATGTTGTAGCATATATATGAACAGTTCATTCCTTCATATTATGGAATACTGTTGTATTATATGGATATGCCACAATTTGTTTATCCATTCACCTGTGGATAAAAATTTTGCTTTTTTCCAGATTTTGAATATTATAAATAAAGCTATTATGAACATTTATATACGTGTTTGTATGGACATTTGTTTTTATTTTTCTTGAGTAAACACCTAGAAGTGAAATGGCTAGGTCAGAAGGTAGGTATTCATTTAGCGTTCCAAGAAATTGCCAAATCAACTTCCAAAACAAAGATATCTTTGCTTATTATTTTTTCCGGTTACAGAATTAGAGTGTGCAGTTCCTTTATCTTCCTTTTAGTACTTTTAAAATGTTGTTCTATTGTCTTCTCTCTTGCATTGTTTCTGATAAGAAATCTGTTGTTATCCTTATATTTGTTTCTGTATGCAACATGTCTTTTTTCCTCTGGCTGCTTTTGAGATTTTCTCTACATCACTGGTTTTGAGTGGTGTGATTATAATGTCCCTTAGATATGTTTCTTGTGCTTGAAGTTCATTGATATTCTTGGTTACTGATATTCTTAGATCTATGGGTTATAGTTTTAAACAAATTTGGAAAATATTTGGCCAGTATTTCTTGAAATAGCACTTCCTCACCTGAGGAACTCCAGTTTTACTTATATTTGGATTTTATTCTTGTTTTGAGACAGAGTCTCACTCCCACCGAGGCTGAAGTGCAGTGGCATGCTCTTGACTCACTGCAACCTCTGCCTCCTGGATTCAAGTGATCCTATGCCTCAGCTTCCCACATAGCTGGGATTACAGGCATGCACCACTACTCCTGGCTAATTTTTGTATTTTTTAGTAGAGATGGGTTTTAATAATGTTGGCCAGGCTATTATTTGGATGTTTCAGGTTATTTCACAGTTCACTGGTGCTCTGCTCATTCTTTTTCAGTCTCTTTTCTCTCTGTGTTTAATTTAGGATAGCTTTTATTGCTACATGTTTTAGTTCATTAATCTTTTCTTCCATGACACTAATAAGCTTTTAATTCTGTCCAGTGTTTTTTTATCTCATACATTGTAATTTTCAAATCTAAAATTTTAATTTGTATCCTTCATATATCTTCCATGTCTCTATTTAACATGGTTTGAATTTCCTCTGGTTTCTTGACTGTATGGAATATAGTGATAATAACTTTTAATGTTCTTACCTACTAATTCTAATGCTGGTTTTATTTCTGGGCAAGTTTCAATGGGGTTGATTTTTCTCAACACAAAGTGCTATATTTTTCAGCCTTTTTGAATGCCTATTTTTAAATTAAATATTATTATTAATATTAATATTTTTAAAGATGGGGTCTTGCTATGTTGCCCAGGCTTGCTTTGAATTCTTGGGCTCAAGCTGTCTTCTTGCCTTAGCCTCCTGAGTAGTTGGGATTACAGGCATGTACCACTATGCCTGGCTGAGTAGTTTTTTATTGAATGTCCAACATTGTGAATTTTATCTTTTTGCATGTTGGATATTTTTGTATTCCTCTAATTTGAGCTTTGTTCTTGAATATTTTGTAGTTACTTGAAAACAGATTGACCCAGTTTGGTCTTGCATTTAAGTTTTATTAGGTAAGACTACAGCAACATTTAGTCTAGGGTTAATTTTTCCCCGCTGTTGAGGTAAGACCTTTTTAGAACTCCAATTTATGCCCTCAGAATTGTGAGGTTTTATTTCTTGAAAGTAGAAATAGGCAGTATTCCTGGTTCAAAGTCAGTTCTCTCTAATCTTTTAAGTTGGTTGTTTTCCTGGCCTTGGGTAGTTTCTTCATACACATGTACTGAACAGTACTCAACTGAATACTCAAAGTGGATACTCAGCAGATACTTATAGTTTTCTCTGTGTAACTCCTTCTGGTAATCTACTCTGTGAACTTTTGATACCTTGGCTCACCCAGATACATGTTTGTCTCCTTAGAGAGATGCCTGAACTTTCCCTGGTTTCTCAATCCCTGCATTATGACTTGGAAACTTTATACAGGCACTGGGGGAAATTAAAGCATTTGATTGGAAGCTTAAATTGCACTATATCTCATAGGGAGACTGGTCTATAATTTTGTTTTCTTGTCTTGCCATTGTATAATTTTTTTGAAAAGACTTTATAAGCCTCATAAAATAAATTAGGTAGACTTCCCTCTTTTTCTATTTTTTTTTTTTTTAGAACTGTTTATATAAGATAGGGAATAACTGTTCTTCAAAAGTTTAGAAGTTTGGTAAGTCTTGCTGTAAAACCAACTAAGCTTGTGATCTTGGAGGGAGACAAAGTAGAGACTTTTAATCACTGACTCAATTTATTTAATAGTATTGGTTTATCTAGCTTGTTCATTTCTTTTTACAGCATTTATATAATTCATATTTTTTTCAAAGATTATTGTTTTTCAATACATTTTAAAAAATTTATCACCAATTTTCTATGACTTAAAAAAATTTTACTGTATTTATAGTTATATCTTTCTTTTTTAATATTGTTTATTGGTGTCTTTAAAAAAACCTAATCATTCCTATTAGAAATGTATTCACTTTTATTCGTTTTTAAAAAGGCATTACCAGCCAGGCATGGTGGCTCACGCTTGTAATCCCAGCACTTTGGGAGGCTGAGGCAGGCAGATCACCTGAGGTCAGGAGTTCGAGAACAGCCTGACCAACATGTAGAAACCCCGTCTCTACTAAAAATACAAAATTAGCCAGGTGTGATGACACATGCCTGTAATCCCAGCTACTCGGGAGGCTGAGGCAGGAGAATCACTTGAACCCGGGAGGCGGAGGTGGTAGTGAGCCGAGATCACACCATTGAACTCCACCCTGGGGAACAAGAGTGAAACTCCATCTCAAACACATGAAAAAAAAAAAAAAAGGCATTACCTTTTAGTTTTATGAATCTTCTTACTTTTTGTTTTCAAGTTTATTATTTTCTTCTCTCATCTTTATCATTCCATCTACTTAGTGTTAGATTTACAGTGCTTTTTTCCACTGGCTTGTTTAGGTTAGTTGAAGTTACTTCCAATTATTTTCCATTTTGTTGCTATTAATAAATGCCATAAAGATACTTTAAACTGTTTGAAAGTAGCATATTTTTTCCTGAACATTTTAAAGGATTTATTACTAATCATAAATTAACTTGAAAGCAAGTGGAATTAATGAATATTAGAGCTGGAAGTGGTGTTAGGGCACAAATTTGTTATTTCACTTTTATATTAGTTTTCTAGGGCTGACATAAGAAAGTACTAGGAACTGAGTGGCTTAATACAACAGAAATTTATTGTCTCACAGTCCTAGAGGCTAGAAGTCCAAAATCAGTCTGCAGGGCTATGCTTCCTCCAAAACCTGTAAGGGAGAATGCTTCCTGGTCTCGTCTTATCTTCTGGGGGTGCCTGTCAATCCTTGGCATGCCTTGCCTAGCAGATGCTCACTCTAGTCTTTGCCTCTCTTGTCACATGGTGCTCTCCCTATGTGTCTGTCTTCAGGAGGCGTTTTCCTCTTCTTATAATACCCATTATATTAGTCCATTCTGTCATTGCTTTAAATAACTACCTGAGACTAGGTAATTTATAAAGAAAATAGGTTTAGTTGACTTACAGTTCTGCAGGCTGCATAGGAAACATGATGCTGGCATCTGCTTGGCTTTTGGGAGGCCTCAGGAAACTTGCAATCCTAGCAGAAGGTGAAGGGGAAGCAGGTACATCTTCATATGGAGCAGCAGGAGAGTGAGAGAGTGAAGGGGGGCGTACTACACACACATTTTTAAACAACAAGATCTCATGAGAACTCTATTATGAGAAAGGCAAGGGGAAGGTCCACCCCCATAACTCGATCACCTCCTACCAGGCCCCTCCTCCAACACTTGGAATTACAATTCGAATAAGATTTCAGTGGGGACACAGAGTCAAATTATATCATCTGTTATACTGAATTAGGGCCTCCTGTAATGACTTCATCTTAACTTGATTAAATCTGCAAAGACCGTGTTTCCAATTAAGGTTACATTCACAGGTACAAAGAGTTAGGACGTCAACATATCTTTTTGGGGTCACAATTCAGCCCATAAAAATAGAATCAAAAACTAAGGCTTAGGGATGTTAAGTAACTTCCAAAGATCAAATGGTTTAGTATTAATTACTAATCAGATTTCACGGAGGCTTTTCTCAGACACTAAAATACATCCAATTGCAAGTACCTCAGAATGGAGGTATGAACTTTTGGGAAATAAAATATTTGTTCATCCACCAGGGGGAGCCAGGCTCAATAGGGCTCCCAGGACAACCAGGAGTACCAGGAGAAGATGGAGCTGCTGGGAAGAAGGTAAGACCAAGCTTTTCATATTACTGGAGTAGGAACTATTAAACCAAACTGATATCTTGGTCCCGCAGGAGTGCAAATCAAGCCATCCAGGACAAACTCAGTATCTTTAAGAAAAAATATCTCACAATCCCAAATGTTCCTTTTCACTTATCCCTTAGGAGGGGCCTACTCAAAGGCTGAGATAGTGTCTCACATCCTCTGCCTTCTCTCTGGTGTTTTGGTTATGGCCTACTTTCTTCAGGATTTCTAGAAAGCATATTAATTTAAACTTAAGAGAAAGTCACTTCCCCCGCCCCCCGCCCCCCGCCCCCCGCCAAGAGGAGAGTCTGTGAGTGCATTCAGGAAATAAGGCCGTTGTAAAGATTTCCTGAAGTATTTTGAGTTGACATTTGAAATACTCATTTTTCAATAAAAGTAGCAAAAAACAGCAGGTGGAAAGGCTGAAGGTCTTCCCTGTTTTTAAAAAAATCTACCAAATGCGAATGAAGAGCCAAAGGAAAATGAGCTTATTGCTTTGGAAATTGGCTGAGAAATTACTTTTTCATGATACTCCAGCTGCTCTGAGTTAAACTGGAGTTTGATGTTACTTTATTTCAAGTTTATAAACTTCCAAATTGATTTTGAGACTAGAGTGAAGTTATGGTGTATTTTGGAGAGTCTCAGCTGAATCCACTGGTGATAAAAGGAGACAAGGTGGGATGATACATACAGTCTGTCTACTGGAGGGTCACCTAAGACATCAGTGTCATTTTCTCTAGGGAGAAGCGGGGCTTCCAGGAGCAAGAGGCCCAGAGGGACCACCTGGAAAAGGACAGCCTGGCCCCAAGGTATGGAAATGACAGTGTTGGAGGAAGCAGCCTGTGTTCTGGCCCTCATACTGAGGAGCCAACTTAGAAGAAATTTGATTGTTATTCTTACTATGTCAAATGTGTTTATATCTGGCTTAAAAGTATGAATACTATCTTGCAAGATTTTGGAAGACAGCAAGCATAAATGATTCATTTTTATTTTCCTAACATCTATTGTAAGACCCAGCATAGAGAGGAGTTCAACACACGTTTTCTCAATAAATGGTCAGACTGACATTTAAAAAACACATAGGAAGGAAAAGAAGCCTTGAAATACATCATTGAGATTTGACAGTCCATAAATTTTCTTTGTTTATAAAATCTCACACAATAATAAGAAATATCACTTTATTAAATGGCCATTTCACTTCACAGCTTGACATAAATTTATTTTAAACTCTGTAGAAATGCTAGTTGAATAACATTTTTATATATTAAGATGAGACTATATAAATTCATCAATAGGATAAGACCACTAGTGACATAACCTATAGCATCTAAGGTTCCAGGTCTTCCTACAATTTTTTTCTTTTTATTTTTTTTTTTTGAGATGGAGTCTCACTCTATTGCCCAGGCTGGAGTGCAGTGGCACGATCTCGGCTTACTGCAACTTCCGCCTCCCGGGTTCAAGCGATTCTCCTGCCTCAGCCTCCTGAGCAGCTGGGACTACAGGCATATGCCACCACACCGAGCTAATTTTTGTATTTTTAGTAGAGATAGGGTTCCACCATATTGGCCAGGCTGGTCTGGAACTCCTGACCTCATGATCCTCCTGCCTCAGCCTCTGAAAGTGCTGGGATTATGGGCGTGAGCCACTGCACCTGGCCTTCTTTCTATTTTTATGTGCAGTTATCAATTCCCGTTTAAAGATTCTTATAGATTATATACAAGTCAAGTAAAAATAAAATTTGCATATATATTAGTGTTCTATTCATAATTCTACTAAAATAGTAATTGATGTCTTGTGAACATACTCACTAAAATTGAATCTTTAATCTTAAATGTGAAGATATGAAATTTAAATCTATTTGTAGGCTTTTAAACATTTTCATTTATTGATTTACCAGTCTCAGGGATCCTTTTTGGGTGAGGTGGAGGGGATAACATAATCATGCAAAATATACTGTTAGAAATGCTGATCTGCTAACATTCAGGAGAACTGTTGTTTTAGGATGTGCTTTTGGAAAATAGTCGCTTGGAGTTAATAATTGAAGCCGTGAGAATGAACAGTGTCTCTAAGGAAGGGAGTTGAGGTTTAAGCCCCACATTGTGAGGTAGCTGGAGAACGAGCACTCAACAGAATAAGCAGAATGGTAGCATGTTAGGGATACCGAGAAGAAAGGATTTCAAGATGAAAGCCATGGGTGGTATCAGATGCCACCAATAAAGCAAGGAGAATGTGCATTGGAAAAAGAGGCTACTGGATTTGTGGCTTGAGGTGACTTGTGGCTTATGGAAGGCTATTGGAGAAGAGTGGTAGGACATGTTACATAGCCCAGGTATACCATGGTTCAGTGTTGGCGATTTATGACATGTAATTGGGTTCCTGCTATTCATTTCTGGGGTGATTTAGGTCAATAACCTAAATTAGTGGTAGCGGAGGGAAGAAAATACATAGTTGTGGTTGAATTGTCTCTACTGGTAAGTGATAATGATATAAGATACTTGGACATTCAACTTTTTTTTTTTTTTTTTTTTAAACACTGGTGCCACTGCTTTCCATTAGTGTGGACCATGGAAACCTCTGTGGATTCTACAGGAGGTCACCTCTTCTTAGTAAAGTACCTGCTTTGCTGATGACCTTAGTATAGTCCAGTGATTCTCAAAGTGTGGTCCCTTGAATCAGCAGCATCAGCATCACCTGGGAATGTTAAAAATGCAAATGCTTGGACCTCAGTGCAGAAGTACGAAATCAGAAACTCTGGGTGGAGGGCCCAGCAATCTGTGTTCTAACAAGCCCTCCAGGTGATTCTGTTGCTCAACCTTAAAAACCATGGTATAGTAATTTATATTATAAATGTTTAAATAGCCTCAGTGCAGACCATGAGGAATTTTTCATTTGTTGAGCTATGTGCATCCCTGGATATGGTGCCTTGCAGTTGAACCCTAGTTGAAAGATAGTTTTGAAGGTAAAGGAATTCTTTTGGGGGAGCACAGTTTTACACAATCATGCTGGGGAACAGCCAGCAGTCAGTTCCTAGCTCTGCCCCAGGTCAATGCTAAAGCATCTTCCTGCCAAGAAAACTATTAGTCTCTTTTGGGGGAAAGAATTAGACTCCCCAGTGAGGAAGAAATAGGGCTATGCTTTTTAAAATGTCTCATTTCATGTTTTAAACCTGAAATTGAAAAATTGAAAAACAGCATGAAAAAGCACAGATCGTTCTCATTTCTGAAACTGTGAATGTCTCAGAACTACCTGTTAGTAGACCAAGGGTGCAAAGGAACTATAAATTCAAATAAAAGTTCCAAAAGAAAGATACAAAACTTCGATTTTTGAAAAACAGCAAATCACATTGAATAAATGGTAAAGGCTGAACAATCTGAAGTCATCTGATCTCCTCAAGAACATTGACGAATCCTGTGCAACTGAGCTGTGCTCAGGGCACACCACTTTAAAATTGGTATTAGTTGAGAATTTGGCTCCGCTATGGTCCTTACTAGGTTAGGGGAGGTTGCTAATACAATATTTTTATTTTTATAATTATTTTATTAGGGTGATGAAGGCAAGAAAGGGAGCAAAGGAAATCAAGGACAGAGGGGACTTCCAGGGCCCGAAGGACCAAAGGTATGTTTCTTGTATTCTGACTTAGCTTTGAGGAGTTTGTATTTGTGTCTGGTTTTAATAGAGTATTAGATTTCCACTGAAAATTGGATTCTTTGTTTCCTTCCCAACAAATACAAAAGAAAAACCCCAAAATAAAAAACCATAGAAGACATACTATTCCCAGACCACAATAGAATGGAATAGATTGCATAAAATATGTAATACTCATAGAAATACGTATGTTTCTAATTTGTCTGTCAGTCGTCTCTAGTAACAACCAAATATTCAGAAGTTGGGATATAACTGGGACCATAGGAGATATCAGTTCTTCATAATCTTGCTTTGCTAAACAACCCAAAAGCCTGAGACTGACGGGCAGCACAGTGATGATGAAGGCTTTTCTTCAGAAGGCTGATTGCCTCCTGCTGTGCCGTGAACCTTTTGGAGCCAGTCACTTCAATTATAGAAAGAAGATAATGATATGTTCTATTTCACGGGGTTGTTGTGAAGACTAAAAGTTAATAAAGCACTTAGCACATTTACTGGTATATAGTAAGTGTTGAATACATCGAATTATTTGGAGAAAAAAATCAATATGGTGAAATGGGAAGCAGGGGATCTGTGTCCTGGTAAATTCACTTCTGCTGACGAAGAAGTGAAGGGGATTGTGAGGCGAGCAATTAAGTATGTGTCCTGACTAAGCCTCAGAGACCCACCATTAAGGTCATTTGAATGTGTCAGGAAACAGAAACCACAAACCTAAGAGAATCCATGCGTCTAGGAAGATACTAATTGTAAGAAAGAGACAAGGAGTATGTTTTAGGAACAGATGATTAAAAAGCACATTTTTAAAAAATGGTGCTGACTAGATCAGATCAGATACAAAACAAAACGTCACCTGTACACAGTGACTCTTAAACTTTGGCGTCCGTTCAGTGTCCATCGGTATCACCTGGGGATGATTACAAATCCAGATTTTTTGTTACCATCCTCAGCTATCTGGATTCAGCAGGTGAGTGGGCCCAGGAATCTGTGCTTCTCAAGTAAATGCCCCGTGCTGCAGGGAGTTCAAGAAGCACATTATGAAAAGTGCCACTATGAAACAAATGTGTTGTATTAGTATTCATAACAAATTAGTCTTTATGTCCTACTCTATTTCAAAGTGAACATTTTTCTGTGTTTTGAAAGAAAGCTGTTTTTAAAGATGAAGGTGAAGAATTGCCATATGTTAAGGCATAATCACCCCTTAGTACAGGGTATTTAAAATAATTGCATACTTTCCATGATACTTTTCATATTATAAAAGTAATTGACCTCTTTTTTTTTTAAAAAAAGAAATAAAACAAATTAAATCTAGAGACATAATTTTGCTTTTCCTTTGGTTTTAGTGAAGAACTTTAATAGGTTCATGTTCTGTGCCTTTGTCAAAGGCTTGGATAGGGGGTTTTATGTGTTTCCAAATTCTTGTCGTGTCCTATGCCATTGCCTTCCAGGTTTACATTTAAGGACTGGCACATACATGCCATGGCTTGAATTGGGTCTCGGTGGGCCAGTGTGCTCAGCTTGTTGGTTGTATTGGCTAATCAATACAGCGGGAGGCCTCAGCTCTGAAGATGAACACAGCCCCCGGCAGGAGTCATCACTGGTGAATCTGACTGACGGAGTCCCTGCTGGAGGAAGCAGGATGACTGAATAGGAAGCTCATGCGATTGAATTTTCAGAGGACGTGAGTCAGGCAGACGCAGGATTAGTCAGCAGTCTGAGAACCTAGAGGGTCATGTTTAGACATAGCATAGAAATAGCTCATTCTCCACGACTCATCTCCACAGTGTTTTGTTTCTTTGTTTGTTTTGGTAAAGGTCCAGATAGTAAATATTTTAGGTCCTGTGGCCCAAGAGGCAAAATGGAAGATATTATGTAGTTACTTGTATAATGACCACTTGAAAATGTGAAAGCTGTTCATAGCTCAAGGCTGTACAAACAAGTGGGTGGGCGGATTTGGCCCACCTACTGTAGAGAAGTAGTTTTCAAACTGTTTTGATTATAAACCCCTCTAGTAAAATTTTGATCACATGCCACAGATTTTTAATTTTTTACTTGTAATTTTTATTAATAAGCTATCATACTAATATATTATGAATTTATATAAACAATTGAAATTTTAATAGATGAGATAAAAACATAGAGACAAGTTGTAATATTTTCTTATATCCCAGTGGGTCATTTGGAACACCTTGTGGTGTACATTGACAATTGCTCTGGAATAGTGTTTTTACCAGGGATGCTTCATGAAAATTCATAATCCTGGGCACCGACCTCTAGATCTGTTGAATCAGGATCTCTGGAGTTTGAACCCAGAACTGTGCATTACCAAACTTTCCTGATAATTCCTTTGCTATCTAAAATTTGAGAATCACTTGTCTAGATCCAGATGGAACAGAAGAATTACCTGTTGCTCCAGATTGAGTCTTTGAGACTCTAAATATTAGACATCTCCCCCCGAAATGTTTAAAATTTTCTATTAAAAATGTCATTTTTTAAAATCATAGGGTTTTTTTTTTTTGTTTTCTTTTCTTTTTTTTTTTTTTTTTTTTTGAGACAGTGATTTGCTGTTGCTCAGGTTGGAGTGCAGTGGTGCGATCTCAGCTCACTGCAACCTTGAGTGATTTTCCTGCCTCAGCCTCTTGAGTAGCTAGGATTACAGGCACACACCACCATGTCTGGCTAATTTCAGCTATTTTTTTTTTTTTTTTTGTATTTTTAGTAGCGATGGGGTTTTGTCATGTTGGCCAGGCTGGCTTCAAAACTCCTTACCTCAAGTGATCCCCCCACCTCGGCCTCCCAAAGTGTTGGGATTACAGGTGTGAGCCACCACACCCAGCCCATAGGGGTTCTACTTCTTAAAAAGGATGTGAGATAACATAGAATGGAAGACTAATACCTTCGGTCATTAAAATAAAGCAACAAAGAAAAAAGTTATAACCTAGAAGTACACCCTAAAACATTTGCTGAAGATAATTGCTATATTGAAAAAAAAATTCTCTCTGAGCTTTCCAGCATACAACACAAAAGGGAAGCACCATGAATTGCATAATTTTTATTAGCTAATAAAAGGATGCACAAGAGATAAAATTTTCCTAACATTCAGTTATTAATTGAACATAGTTATTTAAAAGCACTAAAATCTTACTGGTCAATAACTTTAGCAGTGGTTTACAAAGGATGCTCAAATTATTTTCACATTGGTCTTTGAAACAGACAGAGGTCATAATGTAATTTAAAAATCTGCAGACATTTCTATACATTTATTATTGTCTCTATATGTGGTTTCTCTGCTTGAAATGTAGTGAGCATTTTGCTCTTTTTAAGGGTGAACCGGGCATTATGGGCCCTTTTGGAATGCCTGGAACATCAATTCCCGGACCACCTGGGCCAAAGGTATATATTCCTGGGAATTATTTTCCTTTTCTTGACTCTTTGGCAGTTGGAGAAAAAAAATCATGATATCAGTGAACTAGAATTTTAGTTTTGGAAGAGCCTTAGAAATGACTCAGTTTAACTCTGAAACTTCACAGATAAGCAAACTACAGCCAGCAGCAGAGTTAGGACTAAAAACCAGATTTTGTGCTCCTGGTCCCAAGCTTGTCACTTTACCCTTCATTACATCTTCCAAACCCTAAACTCCAGTACAGGCAAGAATTTAGAACATATATTCAGAAGAATCTACCAGGATTTATAATTGAAGAGTTTAGCAGAAGATATATCCACTCAGGTTGGTTGGTTGGTTTGCTTTTTGAGACAGAGTCTCAGTCCCCCAGGTTGGAGTGCAGTGGTGCAATCTTGGCTCACTGCAACCTCCACTTCCTGGGCTCAAGTGATTCTCCTGCCTCAGCCCCCCAAATAGCTGGGATTACAGATATACCACCATGCCTGGCTAATTTTTGTACTTTTAGTAGAGATGGGGTTTTGCCATGTTGGCTAGGCTGGTCTCAAACTCCTGGATTCAAGTGACCCGCCTGCCTTGGCCTCCCAAAGTGTTGGAATTATAGGTGTGAGCCACTGAGCCTGGCCTTCACTCAATTTTAAGAGCATTCCCAGCCAATCTTAAAGTCTAAATATTTGAGTCTGAATTGCCACATATTATTTCAATGGACTTTCTCCTAACAACAGTAATAGTCTTTACTGACAGGTGTTATTTACTTAGGATTTGAAATTCCCCTCAAATATTAAATATACTATCTCAAGGTCTGAGATGGACAGATTAAGGTCTTTACAGAGTGGCCAATGCTTTTTTTTTTTTTTGCTATGTGTGCTTGTGATTTCTTGCACAACTGTAACCTGTGAAATGTCATTTGAAATGCACAGGGAGATAGAGGAGGACCTGGGATACCTGGATTTAAAGGAGAACCCGGACTTTCTATTCGAGGACCAAAGGTATGCTTTATTCATGTTCTTTTTGTTTTTCTGTATCTGAAATAAACAAAGCTAGATTTAATCCATAAGTTGATTTTTCAATTTGCAAAGTTTCTACATTGATGAATTAAAATGTAAGAATATAGCTATTCCCTTTTACTAAAAAAAGCAAGCAATCACGTAGTTTATTTTTCATACTTGTGGGGAAAAGTAGCTCTTATGGTTAAATTTTTGCTGATTAGACAATTGTTTGAAAATGCTCTTTTGCACTGTCTGTGATACAGGGGATTAAATGGCCTCTGGCCTCTTCATTTACATATTAATGGCCTAAGTATCTGTTCTGCAAAACATTGTCCAAAAAAGCGTGTGTGCTTGGAAGCTTCGTTGAATAAAAACTTTCCAGCTTTGATTATTTATCCTTTTGAGTTATTTCAAAGGGAAATACAAATAATTAAGAAGAAACCAGGTTTCTGTAATCATATCTGGTTTTTCATGGTAACGAAGCACCATTCTTTCTCCTCATACTATACCCAGCACCACAGCAAAATTTAGCATTTATAACATTCCTAGGTGTCAACCAGGATCTCTGTTTGTGAGGACAAGCTTCAGGGCCCCATCATTAGCACTTTTAAAATCAATAGCATGTTGTTACATAGCTTTGAAACTTGCTTATATTCTCCCATATTAAGTTGTCTTATCTAGATAAAAGGGTTCAAGTACTAAACTGATGACCTTCAAAGTTAAAAGAAGAAAACATGGAGTCATTTTTTAAACAAAATATGATGCAAAACTTGTTGTATAAAACTGACATAAATTGGAGTGGTTCTTATTAAAAGCAAAGGGAGAACCTTGAGCCTCCCCTGTTCTTACTGCTTTAATAGTCATCCCTGCTAGAGTGACAGTTGCCCTAGTTTGCCCAGGATTGAAAGGGGTCCTGGAACACATGACTTTCAGGGCTAAAACTGGGAAAATCTTGGGCAAACTTGGACGAATTGTTCATCTACTTCCCCCAGATCCCAAGGTAACCCAAACTATGTAGACCACTCTCTTTAGAAACACAAGCTATATAGACAGCTCATAGAGACAATAGCAAATTTTCTAATGTGAAAACTACAGATATGACCTTGATCAGTTACATTTGCATGACAATTTTGATAGATTGAAGCTGTGTATTCACAATCTATGATTTATACATCTCTCTCTACTTATCCTTCTATTTGCAATAGGAATACAATCCAATTAAATGTGCTGCTAGAGTTTATAGGCCCCACCTGTTTTCTGCTGATGATTATTAGGCATTATAGGTGATGGTACTTAAAGATATTTGCCTCTTCACCCAAGTCTTTTGCTACTCCCCTGGACTCTAATGATACTCTTTTTGTCGTTCTTCCCTAGTTCATTAGTTTTTCAGTTTTTGGAGGGTCATACACACCTTTGAATGTCTGATGGAAATTTTAGCACTTTAATTTCATTTTGTGTAATACTTCAGGGGTCTCCCAGATGCCCCCTAAAGCTGATTTCAAAATACTAGGTTTCCATTTTTGCCCTAATTTCTAATGAATGAGAGAAACACTTTGAAGTAAATAACTCTGTAGGACGTTTCCTTGAATCCAGTGTAGAAAAGCCAAGTGGCAACGTTCCATCTATAAAAATATGGTAAGGAGTCCAAAATAAAAACCTGCTCCTCTTCTTGCTCCTTGATATTTCCTATTAATAACAGAAGTAACAAGCTACCTGAGATTTTTGCAGGAGCGAGGACAAAGATCTCTATAAAAAGGATGTTTGTAAACTATGAGTGTTTTAATGGTTTTCCCCTCCACTGTGGTTGTCAGGCTTTAAACAAGAGCAGCTGCTGATAATTTGTTGTAAGTTTGGACCATAGAAATAAAAACTGAAAAGTAAATTTTGATTCCAATTTTCTTTTCCTTTTAACTCAACCAGGGATCAGTTACTGCTTTATTTTGTTGTTGGGCCTCTCCTCGTGTAAACATGGAGATAAGTGGAAAACTTATTTTGGGACAAGTTTCATATGAGAATGTTTAGAGCTTCAACCTTAAATGTAATTGGAATAGCATAAAAAATGGTTCTGAGAAGTGACCAGTTCCCCGTAGTTGGAATACACCAAAATGTACCATCCTGAAGACTATGGGCTTCCTTTCTCTCATTCAACTTTAAAAAATCACCTTGAGTTTTTGTTGATAATGAATAGTATGTTAAATTTTTATAAGTGACCACATATTTCCTAAAGATAATCATTCTTAAGAAGGTTAGCCACATAAAACAGCCTTTTAGATTTAATAGGAAATAACAGCTGTTGCATTCATGGTTTTTAAAATAAAGTTTCTGGTTGCTTAAAGAGTATGTAAAATTTTTTCCCCTGTTCCCAATCAATTACTCATTTATTGGAGTATAGTTGAGAATAGTTTTTGGGAGTTGGACTTTGGGCAGTATTTTCACTTGGAATAATGGTAATTTGATCTCCGAGTTTGCTTCCATATAAGGAAAGTTCTTAAGAGTCCTGCTACTTTCTTTCTCCATTCTTGGAAAACAAAGGTCTGACTGTTGTTAGAGTTCCCTCCCAATATAAAGAAAAACCATAAATATTTTAAAACATGAGTAGCTCTTTATCAAAACAAGGACTGCATATTGACAAGGGCTGTTGTAAGCATTTTCAGCCAGTAACAGATAGGTGGAATGTGTTGTAAAAAGAAGTATTACAGGTTTTAAATATAAGCGTAATGGACTTGCAGGTAACCTTTTTTTTTTTTTTTTTTTTTTTTTTTGAGACAGAGTCTCGCTCTGTTGCGCAGGCTAGAGCACAGTGGCACAATCTCTGCTCACTGCAGCCTCAGCCTCCCGGGTTCAAGCGATTCTCCTGCCTCAGTCTCCCAAGTAGCTAGGATTACAGGCGCCTGCCACCAAGCCCAGCTAATTTTTGTATTTTTAGTAGAGATGGGGTTTCACCATGTTGGCCAGACTGATCTTGAACTCCTGACCTAGTGATCTGCCCGCCTCAGCTTCCCAAAGTGCTGGGGATTACAGGTGTGAGCCAGTGTACCTGGTCACTTGTAGGTAATCTTCTAAAAGATACTTCTTAATTTTTTTCTCTCCCCCCGTTTTACTTTAGTCAGAAATTTTTCTGATTTCTGTTTGTGAGAGAGTTGTAAGTCTTAGAAAACTCTATTGTATAAAGGACAATAATCACCCCTCCCTGCTCTTTCTGTAGGAGACTAGGAGCTGCTACTAAAAGTTTTTGATGCCTAAGGTCATCATTGTAAAACAATATTTACAACTTTTTCCTAGGTCTCAAGATATGAATCACAAACCCTGTCCCTTCATAACTTGTTTTAGAAAAATTAATATGTGTTTATTTTCATCTGGGTTTATTCCCTGTATAATTCAGTGTCCATTAATGTAGACAATAGATTTAACACAACAATAGGAAACTGTAGTTATTCCACACTCAAAATTTTGCTATGTATTCTTTTCTACTCTTCTCACATTGTACTTAATAAATTTTATTTTTTATACGTCTTCTTGATTTATGATGCACTAAAACTTTATGATTTTAAAAATTAAAATATTAGCAATAAGTCATTTTCTAACTCCTGGGTTAGAAATCCACTGTTGGCATATTGAGTTGGTTTTATGCTTAAGTTTAACCAGATGTTTTATAGTTGAGTCTCATGACATCACTGATGTTGGAATTTACCCAGGGTGTCCAAGGCCCTCGGGGACCAGTGGGTGCTCCAGGACTCAAAGGTGATGGCTATCCTGGTGTGCCTGTAAGTGGGACATTTTTTTCTTCCCTCCCTCCCTCCTTTTTGAGAGTTGCATACGACAAGGATGCTCACTCCTCCCTTACTATGTCATCTCAGGGACCTCGTGGATTACCAGGACCCCCTGGGCCGATGGGTTTACGTGGAGTGGGAGACACTGGAGCAAAGGTAAGACTTTAAAGTAGGCAACATACTAGCTTCTAAGAGTGTGCCTATAGGTAGGTGACTTTGGTAAAGATAAAATTTTTTATCAGCTAGAAGAATAGAGGTGTCTGAAATAATTAATAAAGTTATTTGCCCTTATCTATAGACTTCCCAGGGAACTAATCTGAACATGTAGACTAACTTTATGGTTTGGCTCCTCCTTCTCTGATAGCAACTCACATTCCTTTGCTGCTTCCTCTTCTTATACCAAGATCAGGGTTCAAGTCGGAGATCTCCTCTCTCCTCTAGCCATACTCTTTCCCAGGGTACTCTCATCCAACCCCATGGCTTTAACCACTGTCCACACACTGATGGCTTCCAAATACCTGTATTTTCTCCCTTAAGATATGGTTTCATGTATATAATTTCTTACCATGTATCCCCTCTTGGGCTTCTCACAAACATCTCTAATGTAAAATAACCCAAAATAAAATCCTTGATTTTTGCCCCATAACCCTGCAAATGGCTCTCCTAAGCTCAAGCCAGAAGGACTAAGCATCATGCTTTGTTCCTTCCTTTCCCTCTCCTTCCTCCACACCTAGTCCTTTGGTAAATCCTGTCAGCACTACCACCAAAATATATCTCAATTCTGGCTCCTTTTTTCTTTCTGCTTCTGCCAGGCAGACTATGTCATCTCTTACGTGGGCTGTAAAAATAGCCTCTGCATTGGTCTTCTCTCTGTTCGACCTCTGTCCTCCAATAACTTAGCAGGAAGCGTGGTCTTCTAAAACCATAAATCAGAGTGTATATCATTCCTTCCTAGAAACACCCTGGTGGCTTCTCTTTCAGACTGTGAACACTTCCCATGGCCTTGAAGGCCCTTCATGCCCGGATCACAGCTTCTGTCTTTTCTCCCCGGCTGCTACATTCAGCCAAAATGGCCTGCCCTACTTTAGCTCATTCCTGCATCAGGGACTTGCCAGGATGACTGATTGTTAAAAGCTTAGTTCAATTCTCACCTCCCCGACCACCCATACAAAAAGCATTAGTTTCCCAACCCCTCTGTATGCTTTCCATGTAGCGTGTACCACTTTCTGAGATCATCTTGCTCATCTCATATTCATCTCTGCATATTCCACGAGAGTGAAGGTTTTCCTGGAGGCAGGCTTTTTGCTTTGTTCCCTCCTAACTTCGTGCCACCAGAACTAGGTGTACCATTCAATAGGAGCTCTACAACCTGTTGAATGAATGGAAAATGAAGAAATGATCAATATTACCCTAAAGGGAGAATTTTTCCTTTGAAATATATCTCCTTAGTTTTTTGAATGTTTCCAGGTCATTAGAGAGAAAAGATATTGTATGTGCTTAATGCCAACTTCTCCTCTTGGTATTTGCCCCTGCCACAAAATTTAGAAGTGCCTCTTTGCCCTCTCCCAGGTAGAATAAAAGATTGGAGACCCATGGCACTAAATTTCATCTTTAAAAGGGAATCTTGATAGCTGCCTCATCTCTGCTTCTGGGGGGTAATGTTGAGAGTCCAGTGAGGATGTATCTGGAAGTGCTGTGTACACTGTACAGAGAGGACAAACCTGAGGTGCTTCAATGAAGGATCTGGCTTGGTCTGACTGAGGACTACATCAGATCCTTGAATAAGCCTCACCAGTATCAATAAACTGCACCGAATTTGGGTACTGATGTATTCTTTTTTCTTTAAAGCATAGCACCTGTCAAAATCCTAAAATAAAAAAAAGTAGAAAGAGAAATTCAATAGGTAAACCTCATATTTTATGTGGTCAGTGAAACAATGGTTAAAAACTTGTATATTAAATATTTCTTTAGGGAAGTAGAAACTTATTTCTATGTAAAATAAGATGTGAAATAAAATATGTTAAATATATATTGGAATGTGTGTATTCCAATAGAAACAGATGATCATTTACATTTTCACAGAGTAGATTATTATGAATTTTTTATATAACTAGGCATGATGTTATATTAAATTATGGGATTATGTTACTGCTTTACATTGAGCAATAATAATAAAGACAGGCACTTAGGCACAGATAAAGAACATTTTAAAAAAACTAGCCAGGTGTGGTGGCTTATGCCTGTAATTCCAGCACTTTGGGAGGCTGAGGTGGGCAGATCACCTGAGGTCAGGAGTTTGAGACCAGCCTGGCCAACATGGTGAAACCCCATCTCTACTAAAAACACAAAAATGAGCTGGGTATGGTGGTGCATGCCTATAATCCCAGCTGCTCAGGAGGCTGAGGCAGGAGAATTGCTTGAACCCAGGAGGCGGAGGTTGCAGTGAGCTGAGATCGCACCACTGTACTCCAACCTGGGCAGCAGAGCGAAACTCCATTTCAAAAAAAACAAAAAACATTAAAATACCCAATTCTTGTGAATATTTCACTGTGTCAGATTATCTAAGATACAGACTAAAATATTTACTAAATGATTGCATACACCATTTTCCTCCAAAAGTCCCCTGTATTTGCCATCATCTACATTTTAGGGGGAAAAAGGTAAGAAACAAGGTGTTCAAAACTTCATCTTGCCTATTGTTTTTTGAAATGTCTAATATGCTGCCAGAAGATGTATCTTAAGTGAAACTCCCATTGTCTGTGTGAGTCCACATGGGAGGCTGAGTGGAAGCAGCAGTCCATGGTTTGCTTCCAGCTGCAGGCAGAAGCCAGGCAGAAGAGCACTAGCTGGGACCTACCTGTCTGCCCGCCTCCCTCTCAGCTGCTTTTCCTTCCTTCCAATGCCTGTTGTCTCCTCCCATGAAAATTGTGTTGTTCAGAATTTCTCTAGCCCTAGAAGGAGATGTTAGGAGGGTGAGCTGGTCTTAGGATCAAGGGAACTTGGATCATAAACTTGAAAATAAAGGAAAGTCTAAAAGAAAATACTAGCTTTTAAATAACTTTAAAAATCATCTCTCCTTTTTTATAGAGGCCTCAAAATCTCTAAGTGGCCTTTTATTCTGAAGAAAACTTCTGGAAACATACACATACACACACACACCACACACAGAGAGCACAGAGATAGATAGATAGTGTGTGTGTGTGTGTGTGAGTGTGTGTGTGAGAGTGAGAGAGAGAGAGAGAGAGATTCACAGACAGAAACTGGCGAAGAAAGGAAGATAATTCCAGTTAACTTTGCCCTGCTTGCTTGGTAAAGTGCGGGACATTCTGAAAATACCAAAAATTGTCCATGGCAGCAGAAGCACAGGACCCAAATGTGTGCAAAATTTCTCCCCCTTTGAGTTAAAGTGACAGAGAGATTGTATATATGTGTGTGTGGTAGTATAGCCATATGGATCCTGATATGTTTTTCATTTAAGCTTTGTGTAGTGGCCTTAAAATTGTGGCCTTAAGGCATTAACTTACAAAACAAATGTGTTTTGAAATAAGGAAACCATTAAGGTTGACGATGAATTTATGGTGGGTTTTGGTGCTGTTTAGTTAAGGTCACATGTGTTTAACATATGACACAGACATTAAACTCAAAGCTTCTGTGTTTGAAAACATATAAAAAGCAGTCCCTGACATCTAGCACCCTTGTGGTTCCCCATAGCTTTTTTCCAAGTGGAAAAATTCCCTACAACATAAGTGATTATTGTCCTTCTAGATACAATTACCTTGAATTTAATTCAAATTTGGCAAGACCTTCTGAGATATTTCCAAAATTCTTGTAAAAACTACACCTTTGAAGGAGAGAGGAGATACAGATATTAAACTCACCTTTGAAACATGCTGGGAAGAGGAACTGATCATTTGGTTTCTTGCCAAGTGAGAAGTGCTCATCCAGTGTCCTCACTCCTGGATCCAATCTCCTGGCTTGTTAATGGGGAAACCAAGCTCCAAGCCCCACCCATCACTGCCTGCTTTTCTTCACTGGAGCCTTGGATATTAAGAGAACTTCTTGTGATTTGGGGACGAACATGCCATACATCTCATTTCTCTTTGAGAAGCTGCAGATAACTCTGCTCCTGTGTTTTCACCCCCCAAAGCTTTGTAAGGTACATGTAGCCTAAGGACTGATTTCCTGATGTCCCTGAGTATGAGTTTATTTCTGGCCTCATAGAAAAGGAATATAAGAGGTGGCTCTCCTGAGTTCCCTAAGGGCAGGTACAGCCTACCATGCCCCTCTCTTAGCTTTTTTCAGGCCCTCTCAGGGAGCTGGATCATTACAGAAAAAGCTATGATCCTCTCCAAAACCTTGGAGTGGTTGAACTCAGCCTAATCTTTGCACAGAGGAGATCTAACCTGGATTTGGAGTTAGGACCTCTTGACCTCAAGTTGTTGGCATAAGTCTGTTGGCAGAAAAGACTTATTGGATTGTTGTTATTACAGGTATAATTACTATTATTATTATAATGATTATGTATTACCTAAATATTTCCAGAATATTATGACATTTTGGACAGTCCCCCTGTTTTATAGATGAAGAAATGAACAACCAGAAGATTGAGCAACTTGCCTCTTTACAATAGAAACATTTTTGATACTATATTTGTTTTGTATATGAGAGGAGCTTTGGATATGGATGCATGAATGAAAAACTAAATGGATGAATAAATCAGAGCAGAAAGCATGACTTACCCAGATCTACAGATGCTCAATCTCCTATGCTGTCCATCTTCTATCTAGGCACTGTTTTGTGTGTAGTTAGATTGTTTCTTCTTTCAGCCTAGCTTTTCTATTGTCAAAACTTAAATTATGTAAACATTAAAGAGAAGCATAAACCCAAAACCCAAAAGAGTTAAATATTTTTCAGTAACTTTAAATGTTTGAGTATCGTAAATACATGCTTTATTTGACAAAAGTGGCCCATAGTCATAAAACGCAAGTCTATGTGGAATTCCACTGAGTATCATTATTCTAAAAATGTTCCCAGCATCTGAATTGCCCCTCTGTTCTCTGCAATGGCTCACATATGTACACTCCACCAACAGGCATTGGTGGAACAGAGGACCGATTCACACAGAGATGCATTAGGAATGTGTGAATTCCATTGGC